TCAAACAGATCTTGACAGATTTGGGGCTATATGGAATTTATGCTTATTTATAGTTTGGGGAATATATTTAATTTTAATTTTCTCCAAATGATTATCCATTTTTTAAAAAAGACTCTATTTGACTCAATGATGTCAGATTTTTTTTCTTTAAAGATCTTTTTTAAAATAGATTTTTATCTAAAGTAGGACAATTTCTGTCCTTCTGATTCAATTCCAATAATCTGTCACTTCACAAACCTGGATATATTTTGAAAGTAGTTGATAGGCATTGGTGAATAATTTAATATGAGATATGAGAAAAACTCTTAAGATTTTTGAAATTAGTAATGGAAGGTTGGAGTTGTTACTTCCTGAGAAAAATTAAGAGTTCTAATGAATAGAGTTACCACTGTGGAAATAAACAAAGACATCCCAAATGAGAACACATATCTTTATTTGGAGCTTGGTAGAGTGAGAAAGTCAGCCACTGTAACTTGCTTTTGGCAGAAATGCAGACAGACCAAATGGGAAGACTCTATGCTGGGAAAAAAGGGAGACTCCAGTCTGCCGTGAGGAAGTTGCAGGTGGGCTAACCAGAAAGAAGGTGTCCTTGGTAATTGCTGGGGGTACATATTTGATGTTCTCTGGTTGACCCTAAGATGAGCATGGGATCAGAAAGTAGGGAAACGTGGCTAATAAGCATGTTTCCCTGGCTGTTCTAGAACAATTGCTATGGGAGTGGGGGTCCCTGGCCTTCGGGAACAGATTGCTGCCAGTAGTGGGCTGACGTTCTATTTTTATGTATGGCCTGATCGTTCAAGCTGTATATTCAGACTCTCACCAGGGTAATTATTTATTTATAGGGACTCTTTGCATGACCTGAATAGGAGTCTATTTTCTGTTGTATATTGCTAATAGTAGTTTCTACCAGACTATTTTTTCTCATGTTGGGCTTTTAAATTTTTTTATAGTCAAACTTTTTTGCTATGATTTCAGGAATTTGCAGCTTTCATAAAAAGATCATTTCTTTTACAACATTACAAAACATGTCTCCTAAATTCCTTTTAATGTTTTCACGGTTAAAATTGATTTTTAATCCAGACAAATTTTATTTGTATATAGGGTATGATAAAAAGCTAGCTTTATTTCCTTTTCCAAATGTGTATTCACATGGAATTTTATGTTCTTCCTCACAGACCCAAACGCCCATCTTTAATAAATACTAAATTCTAATATATATCAGTGTTTGCTCCTCTGATCTATTTTGGTTTTAATTACTAAAGCATCCACTATTTTTGAAAATGATGTTCCTTTCCCTTCAGTTTTTTTTCTTTATTTAATTGAGTCACCAAGAAAAGCAATTTTTAGATTTTAATTTTCATGAACTTACAAAAACTATTTAATGCATTTATTGCCTCACAGTACAAGAAAGTACTTTTATGGATTCTGCTTTACAGTTGAAGGTTATTTTTATTAAAACATATATATGCAATTATGTTATAATAAACCTCAAATTGTTCATGCTTTTACTCTTTAGGACAGAATTATGTTCATTTCTCTTGTTATGATTTTGAATATTTTTGCCTTCTATCAGCCTTTGGTTTATATTGGGGTAATTATGTAAGTGTTCTCGATTACTACAAAGTCTTAATGGATGTTACATCTAATATTCTGGATGTCTCATTCCCAATACTGGGAGACAAATACATAATTATGAAATTATTGTAACTCAAAACAGAAGATGATTAGATTTAAATGTTTTCTTACCTTACCATGAGTAGGATTCACAGTCTCAACAGAAAACTAGTAGCCCAAATCTTTCTGTGTCCTTTTCTTTGTGTGTGTGGTTTTTTTGAGATGGGGTCTCAGTGTGTAGCCCAGGCTGGCCTTGAATTTTCAGTAATCCTCCTGTCTCAGCTTCCTGAGTGCTGGGATTATAGGCATGCACCACCACACTAGCTGGTTCTTCCATTTCTTGGAACAGAAATCTTTTCCTCTTAACAGTGCTAAACCAATACAGTCAAAGTCTGACCCTCACCCTACAGGGTTTCTGCCCCTTGCTCCTGTATTTGTTAGGTTTCAACATTTATGTCCATTCATCAGATGGTCAAGCTCACTTGACTTTTTGGGTTTCTTTCTTTTTCTGTCATGGAAGTGCTCTTCCTTGTACTATTTTATGATTTTGGATTGATAACAGGTCAGGTTCTCATCCTTGTGTCTTTCTTAGGTGAGAATGTTGGGCTTAGAAAAAAAGGACTTTTAGTTGCTATGACACTGCTCTTTCAGTGGAAATTTTAAGCATTTTGTGGAAGCCCATATTTTCCATCAGCCTAGAGGTGTGTTTTATAGCTATTGAGCATAGCAATCTCAGTTCCCACATGCCTGAATTTCTTTCTTTCTTTCTTTCTTTCTTTCTTTTTTTTTTGGTTGAATGATAGCAAAGGCCATGCGCAGGGCTTTGGGAACTGTCCTGTGCACACGTTCCAGGATTTTGTGGCTTGATTTCTGTGGCAGGTGAGAGGTGTGGAGTGCTCAGAATCACACCGCACTGCCACACACTGTGATTTTGTGGGACAACTTAGTCTTTTCAGCCTTCTTTCTCACATCTTGATAGAGGCAATTTATTAAAAATATAGTTGATACAATTAACTGTATAATGCAATCAGGCCTGTAACATAAATTTACAGATTTAAAAAAACCTCTTTTTCGGGCTGAATGTTCTGATTTCTATTTAACTGTAAGAAGACACAAAAGGACCTGAGGAGTATTCTTTCGAAGAATCAACTAATGTTTTAGGAAGAAAGTATCTCCTTATAAAGACCATTAGGTAGTAGTAAAATATGGAACAAAGCCAATTGATAACTTAAATAACGCTGTCCATAAATTTGGAGGAAAGAACGTTTTTCTTTTCAGTAGAAATACAGTCACTCTTGCAGATAATCTTTTATTTTTTCAGGTAAGCTGCTTCTTCCATCCTGCTTAGAGCAGGTCGGGTAATTTGAGGAGCCTGGGAACGAGTAGCACTGGGGGAACAGAGTGCCCCTCTGCCCTCTTTCCCATGCTGGCTGGAGTGCAGCAAGGTGGGCCGGATGCTGTCATGTCCTCCGCCCACAATGAACTGGGACAGCTTGCCTCGGTTTTGTCCTTTTCACTTAGCAGTCACTCTTTCTCAGGCTGAGCAGGCTCAGCTGTCAGCTTCAATGCTTCTCCCCTGCTTCCATTGCTTCAGACACCGCTGCTGAATCCTTGTAGGGAGGGAGGGGAACCCTAATGTGGCTTAGATGAGAGAGGGAAGGATCTGGTCCATCGCCAACATCCCAAACCTCCCCCAGCCCCAGAAGTCTGGTAATGAACACAGCTAGCATTTCCCAAAGATTCCCGGATTTCAGCCCTGCCATTTTTTTTCAGAGATGTGACAGCTGTCAATCAAACAGCTTGTGTCCTGGGCCCCCTCATTCAATAGCTGCCACTATAGCTGTGGCTGTGGCTTTCCTACAGTCTTATACCCACTCGAACCAATCACAGGCCTGCCCTTGGCCCAAGCACAAATCAGAATCTTCTGTGTAAGTAGTATTTCCCTTACCTTTCTTGTGTACTCTAGGAGGGCTCCCCTCTGGTGCACTAATACTGCCTCTACTGCCTAATTGCTCCTATAATCTCATCAGTCCCCTCCCCACCTCATCCCACATTCCCTTCCCACCTCAGTTGCTGCTCAGGTCTTGTTAAAGACTCATCTCAGTAGTCCTGTAAATCTACTCATAATTTATTTCTGGAAGTGTTCACTTGATGGTCTTGTAAACCTATAGGATTTTATCCTGAGTAATGTGAACCAAGAAATCCTTTAAAAGAAAAGTCAGTAGGGATCGGGGATTAAGCTCAGCGGCATAAACACCTGCCTGGCAAGCCTGAGGTCATCAGTTCGATCCCCAGTACTCCCCCTCCCCCCAAAAAAGAAGAAGGAAAAGACAGACAGAAAGAAAAGTCAGTAAACACTAGATGCTATTCATCCAGAAGAGATCTAGGAACCAACAGCGAATGAAGGTCAGCATCAGAGACCAGCATCCAGGAGGGCTGACTTATGACACTGAGAACAAGCCAGGACCAGATGGCAGAGTGACCAGCAGCTGACTGGGTTAGCTAATGACATCCTGTGTTATCTGGCATCATGCAGTGGCATGAGGACTGTCAGTAGAGCTACACTTTGCCAATTTATTATTTCTATCCGAATTGGGTAAAAGAACCCTCAACTGATTGACAACACTCTCTCCCTCAATGTCTTGGATTCTCAGCCTCTTCAAACTATGTGTAAGAGAATGGCAGTTGTAGATTTACAGGGTGACAGCTATTTCCAGTTACCTTAATACATATTATTTTTCTTTATCTTGACCACAAATCTGCAGTGTGAGTTCGAGGATTCCATTTTACAGGTGACGAAACTGTAAATTGGACTGTTTCAAGCACCGAAGCATCAAGGTCAGGATTTTGTTCCATGAGTGAGAGCTCATGACCTTTCAAAATCATTATCATGCCTTCATGCCAAATTGCACTTGTGTTAATAAAAGCATCCCTCATACTCCACATTCAGCCATTTTCCCATAAGAGTGATTAGCAGACATTTTCTGTGTTCTGCAAAATATAGGTTTTCTTCCAGAGCAATATGCCTTTGTGACTCTTCAAAAGGTCACTGCAGGTTCAGCAGAATGAGAAGTAAGAAGGAAAGGTTTTTAAAAATTCCTTGGCAGGGGCGCCCATTTTACCAAATGAAAATACAAACACTCAAAACATTCGAAATTCAAGTTAAACAGAACACATTTCATTTTATATGACACATCTACCTTTCAGCTCAAATTTTGTTAACATATAATTTCACTGAATAGGAGGTTTTTCCTTGATAGATATTTTGCTTAATTTTCTTTCTGGTAAGCCCTGTGTGTGAGAAAAACAGGAAAATTTTGTTTGGGTATCTGAGTGTCTTAGTTACTTTTTACTCGTCACTGAGACAAAATACCTGAAGCTCAAAGTTGGGAAAGGAAAGATTTATTTCTTACAGTTTTTGGAGGTTTCAGTCCAAACTCAGTTGGCTTCCAGGCAGGCAGGCATGGCTGGGCCGCAGCTCATGGCGGCTGCAAACAGCAAGCAGGAACCAGCAAAGAGCAAGACACACCTTCTTCCTGCCATTACATTACATCCTGGCCCCACCCCTTTGGGGGTGGAGCACTGACACCATCAATCCAAGCACTAGACAATGAACCATCACAAATGCACAATGCAAACTTATGAGGCCTGGGGGCCACCGACATAAAACATGACACTGAGCAATAGGGTTTTTGCATAGACAATTAATTGAAATTTTATCTCTGATTCTGATAACCTCTAATGGCAAAATCTTTAGGTGTCTTAACCAACAAGAATTTTTCTTTTACTATGGCATATGGTTTTAGAGGAGACTGTAGGAACATGGAAAGCGGATGTATGCCATGAATTAAACCTAAAGCTTTTTTTCTCCTTCAAATCCATTTCGAGAGAGTTATTATAATTTCCACACTAATATATTATGCTGCAAACTCATGCTTGTAGTCACAATTTGTAATGACTGGTTGGTCAATGAAAAGACAGAAAATCAATCTGGAAATTCCACCAAGAATCTGTGGTTAGTTGGAGGTAAATAAACTGAATTTGTCTCAAGCAAATTCATTGTCAAGACTTCCAGAATGGAGTCTATGAATTTACCTGTGGTTTTTGAGCACAAAGAAAAACAATTGAACATGGTGAATATACAACCTCAGAAAGATAATGTTTATGTATACATTTAAAAAAATTATTTTATATTATTATAAAGAGAAAAAACAAAATTTCAAAGCATGATAATTAGATGATAACAATGATTAATACATTGCATATTGTTATCTTTAAATTAGTGACTCAGAGTATAAGGCATCTGCATTTAATTGCCTATATTTTTATAAAATTAAAAACTATTACAATTAAAAACTATTTTCATTGAAAATAGTTTTTGAAATTGATAACAAACATAAATCATGGACACATATGAAAGAGGACAGTTACTATGAAAGAAAAATGTACAGTTTTAGCCTACATATATGAACAAGATAATATAATAACAATGGCTAATACATTGTGTATTGTTGTCTTTAGAGTACAAGATATAGGCATTTAATTGTCCAAACAGTTATTAGCACAAACCTTTCTTTTCAAGGCATATATTACTCTCTACAAGACACAGTTTTATTATACTCATGACATATTCTTCACATTAGATGTTTTATTCTGTTGTTATTTAGAAAAATGTAGGTATGTAAAGCTGACAGGAACTTCAAGAGACTGATCCAGCTTTTTTCAGAGCAGTGGAAATTTACACTGTAGTTTAGTGCAAAAAAGTGGTAATGGATGAAGTACAGAGGAATGAAAAACTTGTTTATAGTGCTTTTTATGTAATTGCTAACAAGTTCCAATGAGATTCCAAGACTTTCATAATCAGTCATCAAGTGTCCTATGACCTGAATATTTTTAAAAACACCTTCTGTAAAATCTCCTTCATTACACTGTGAAAACAATGAATATAACTGCTCTTTTTTAAAATTTATTTTAAAGAGAACAAAACCCCAAAATTTCAAAACAAGATAATATAAAAACAATGGCTAATACATTGTATATTGTTATCTTCAGTTAGAGTACAAGATATAGGCATTTAATTGTCCAAACAATATTAGCACAAACCTTTACTTTCAATAAACTAAGAGAAATTAGTAAGTAGTATGACTATCTTAACTATCTTGTGTATGTGTATACATATATATAGTATTTGTTTTTTACTTTTCCCTTTCTTCTTTTCTCCTTTTACCCATTCCAGTTTCTCTTTCCTTTTCAACAGTTTCTTCCTATTTTATGTTATCTATTGTACATTTTGGATCTTATTTACTCTTTCAACTTCCCACACTAGGGAGACAATCTGTTTATACTGTCCAATTTATATCACTTATGAGCATGGTCTTGGGTTGCATTGATATACCTATAAAAGTCTCCAGTTTATCCTTCTTTATGGCAAAATAGTACTCTATTGTATAAAAAGATCACATCTTTTTATTTATTCCTCTGTTGATGAGCGCTTGGGTTGTTTTCAAGAGCGGAGCTATCACAAATTGTGCTGCTGTAAGCATGGGTGCACATATATCACTATGTTATGATGTTTTTAATTCTGGGAAGATACCCAGAAGAGGACAAGCTGGGTCAAATAGAACCTCCAATTCTAGTTTTTTGGGGAACTTCCCCACTGGTTTCCATAGTAGTTGTAACGGTCTACAGTCCCACCAACAGTGGAGAAGTGTTTCTTTTTCCTAATAATCCCTCCATCATGTTAACTGATTGATTTTTTGATGATAGCCATTCTTCCCAGGGTGAGATGGAATCTCAGTGTTGTTTTAATTTGTATCTCTCGAATGACCAGTGATGCTGGACATTTCTTCTTATATGTTTTTGTTTGTGTTTCTTCATTGTGGTCACCATCTCTGTAGTTACTTGAGAAATTATTTCTGACTTCATTTTTTTTTTCTAGAGCCTCATTCAATTGCTTTGTTGTTACCAGTTCAGAGAGGCCAGGTGGAGGCTTTCAGATTGCTCTGTCTCACTGACCTCTGGGCTTGCCTTTGGTGAACTGGATGTCTGGGGTTGCACCTTGTTTAAGTTTCTTCTCATCTTTTCTTCTCCTTATCTTTTCTTTTTAGTTTAATTTATGACATGATTCTTGTAAATTGCCTATGGTGAGTTCTTTCATTGCTAGCATTTAGAACCCTTAGAAAAATGCTTACTTGTCTCAGGTATCTTTTAGGGGTAGCTGGTTTTGGGTTTTGAGTCTGTCGCAAATCCTCCCTCTTCAATATGTTGGGGATGAGAAGTTGCTGCCAGCTTGGCCCATTATTTGTCACTCAACCACAGTATTTTCTCAGACACTTGGTCAATCTGTTGGAATATCAGACAATAGCTGTTTAGAACAATTATGTCACTTTTGGCTAAAGTGGTACCATTAGCAATAACAACAGAATCAAACACAACCTACAAAATGACAAACTGAGGTAACCATTAATTTGCTGCCTTTAACCATATGAATTAGATTTTCTGTTATACAACAAAATCTAATACAAATCAGAAAATTTTATACAGTAGATGAGTCCTTAATGTGTCAATTCAATACTCAGGAGTTAAACTTTAAATGGGGTTACTAACTAAATAGAGACGTAGAAGAAGAGGAAGACTAGAAATAAGTCTGCAGGACAAAGGGAATCGTGCTAACTTTGGGAAACTGTTGCAGAAGACTGGAGGGAAACAGAGAAGGGAGAGAGAAAAAGATCAGTAAGCTGGGCATGCTGGTGCACACCTGTAATGCCAGGACTCTCAAGGCTGCGGCAGGAGGACTGTTCCAAGTTTGAGACCAGCCTGGGCTTCAACGTGAGCTCAAGGCCAGTTTGTCTTCACTCTCTCCCGGGGCTTTAATTAACACCTCAGATCCTTCGTGACCGCAGAGGACCCACTTTGCCATCTTGGTTCTCTTTCTGTATAATTAAAAAAAAAATAAATTGTAAGATCGCTTTTCCAGAGGGAGGCTTTCTCAGTGTTGGATAAAGAAGATGAAGTTCTGCTACCCGGATGCTCCCAGATACAATCTTGGGAGCTCTTTTTTTTTTTTTTTTTTTCTTTCAGCCCATTATCAATCTAAAGCATAATTCAGTATTTTTATCAAAGAGCAAATCCAGTTCTACAGTGTTCTCTGTTTATTGTAGGTATTAAAGAGGACTTGTTGGGAGTAAGGGGAAATGATACCCATCCACCAAAATTTCCCAAGTTAATAAAACAACCATTCATGGCTCCTTTATCTTTTTATTCTGCTTTCTTCTCAATCCTTTCTACTTTTTGGAGTAACCCTGCTGTAACCCGACGCTAGCATATCCAATGCAGCAGCCACCAGGCCTACTGACAGTGAATTCCACCTTCCTTTGGCAAGCTTTTCTTCGCCTATGACAACCTAAAAACCTTGTGAAGGGTCTCATCTGCTATATGCTGTGGCTTTGCAAGCAGTTATGAAACAAACAAAAACATTTTTTCCCTTTCAGGCAACCAGACTCAAGATTAGTACCCCCAAATTCTTGTCTGTTGGTCGCCTCACTCTTGTGGCATCTCTACCTAGAATGAGCTGTAACCAATCTGGTGGAGTGACATTTAAAAATAGGCCATGAAAAGCCTTGCAACATCAGCCTCCAACTTGTGTCTTACTCACGTTGGGAGAAGCCAGGCCTTGAGGACCCTCAAGGAGAATTTGTGTGGAGAATTTCTTGTAGAGAGGAACAGAGAACAGGATTGGGGACCTGGCCAACATCCCCAATCACCCAAATGAGGCTTAAATAAACAAGACAAGCAGTATGATTTTAGGCCTCCAGGAGGATCAAAACTCTGCAGAGTTTGAGACTCAGGGCTGAGACAAAGAGCTTCCCTGGGCAGCCTTTATTTATTAGGTTTTAAAACAAAGAGAGGGAATACTGAGGAAAGCACAAGAACAGAGCAGGGCTTTGGAAGTCATTTCAAAGACTTCTCTAGGTAGTAAATTATGCCAGTTTAGGAGAACTGTCTTGTCTCCATGATGACATTCATGGTGAGAATGAGGCAGCAGGAGGGGGATGCCTGCAGCTGCAATCTCTATCTGCTTTTTGGGGTTGGAGCCAGGTGTCCTCAGCTGTGGCTTTACCTTGCCCTTTGAAGTGTCTCTGGAATCACAGGCCTCTACAGGTCTCAGCCAGAGCCAGTGATTCATAGAGGTTCATTGACTATGAATTTACTCACTGACCATCACCAGACAAGGTGCCGAGGCACAGGACAGACTCTCGGATAAACACAGAAAGCCAATTAGTTAATTTTAAATCCTGCTCGGAGCCACTTTGGAGTGGTCTCCATCACTACTATCTAGAAGCAAATCCGAGTCCCAGTTAAGTTTCAGATGATTGCTATCTTAACTAATATTAGACTGCAACTCACTAGAGACCCAGAATCCAGCCACGTAGCCAACTCATTCCTGAATTCCTGATTCATAGGAATTGTGAGAAAAGGTGATTGTTATTGTTTTAGGTCACTAAATTTTGGAATAATTTGTTAGGCAACAATATATAGCTAATGCATTCTTAATAAGGACAGTGATTTGAATGTCTAATAATTTTGTGGTATCATAATGATTGAGAATTTATAACTGGATGACCTCTTTATTTTTTTATCTTTTATCATCTTTTCTTAACAAAATACTTCTCTAACAAAATGTCTTAGTTTCTAAGAAACTAAGACAAATATTACCTTGCATTTCAATGGATTGATTCTTAAAATTATATTTTATCCAGTAATGATAACAATAAATTATTGTAGTTAAGAATATGTACACTAGAACCATGAAATGTAGATTCCTTCAACTCTGTGACCTTGGACATATTATTAATCAGAAACTGAGTTTTCCCACTTGTAAAATATGCAGAGTAATCACAGAAACCTCACAGAGATTTGAAGGGATGAAATATGATAATGCATATTCTTTGCACACTGCATGGTGGTGAATGTTCAATAAATGTCAGGTACCAGTATCGAGTTGCTCTCAGTATTAAAAGTATGTCTGTTCTGATTACATTTAAAGTGGAAATTTAGTAGACAAAAGACCAGAAATTCAAACCTAAATCTATCCAGCATGTTATCTGTTAAGGATATTAACAGGATTAGAATGACATTTTATTCAGCCAGATGAGCTCACAGACAACCCACTGCTACTGGGAACTTGGATGTCATGGAATGCTAATCATCCCTAACAATGTCAATGTCAGGGCAAAGCACCAGATGGAGGAAGTTTAATAAAAGATATGTATTCCACATTTTTATGTTACATTTCGTACAGTGTTTTGCATGAAAAATATGGCAATCATAGAATATTCATGAAAGTTACTTTATATATTTCTCATGCTTTATTTCCTTAGTTTATCCATTCAAACATCACATACTCAGAATCTACTTGAAGAATCATTTATTGGTTGATTTACTGGCAACTGAAGTTCAGTTGGCTAGAAGATATTTTTGATCTTGAGTTTAGGATGTAAATGGGAACAACAACTTATCAAAAATGAGTTTAAAAAGATACAGACAAAAGAAACATGAAAAATAATACAAATATCAAATGTCAAATAGAAGAAAAAAATCATAGTGAATAAAAAAATGAAGAAATGGACAAGCAAAAGGAAAATGAGCATTTGGTGTGAAAAATTAATGTTTAAATGTCTCAAGAACAATCACTTTTATATTTCAAATGACTGTCACCAGCACTTTTATATTTCATCCTGTTTCCCTTGGCTAATTTCTTTAAGGAAAGAAGTTATTAATAGCACACAAAGGAAGTGAACGTTTAGTTTGTAGATATCTTAAACATGTACCATGAGCTTCCGTGCTTACTGTTCATAAACTCTGGCTTAATTTCGATTTCCTGGCTCCACTTCCTGGACACTGGAGCAGCAAAGGAGGCTCCATATAGAGCAATAAGTTGATTGTCAGAGTTTCCAGTTAAAAAAGGCGCTAAATGTTTAGAAGACTGTATCACCAGTGAGACTCACCTTTTCCTTTCCATATAAAACTAATATTTGAAATAGTATCATGTGTCCTATCATAGGTAAACAAAGAGTCAATGACTATTTGACCAATGAGAAGGAAACTTTAGGGCAGAAATTTTCAAATGGATTCTACCACATAATTTGAAAGCCAAGAAGCTGCAGAGATGAATATTCTGACCAATTGACCCCAGTGGAAGACTTTCTTCACATGGTGACAACAGGCTCTGGTTAAATTCTGATTGTTAAATTCTGAGCGCTTAGATTCCCCAATAGGCTAAAGTCATTCACGTGGAAAACAGAATGATTTTCCTCTTGGGATGCTGAGATACCTGAAAAAAAGATCTATAGTTACTAACATCCAAAAAACAACCACCCAGATCTCTCTATAATGAAGTTCGAAGTTAATCAGGCTCACACACATACTCAATGCTTCCAACAAGGAAAATCTCCCAAGGGGGAAAATAAAACCCAAAGTGCATGGGGGGGGGCAGAACTTGACAGAAAAAGAAATGATTGTGAAAGAGGAAATCATATAAAACTTATCATGAATATGCCAGAAAGTTTCAGGAGATGCTGCATCCATCAGCTAAGAACAAGATGGAACAAGAAAGGCACCCAGAAAATGAAAACAAACAAAAGCAGACAAACAAACACAGTAGAAGAAGCAAGTAGATCAAAAAGGCATAAAATAGGTCAGAAGAGATAACAAACTTAGAAAAGAGTCCAGAAAAGTCTAATATACAATTACAGAACAAGAACAGAGGAAATTGAAGATAAAAAATCATCAGGAAAATACCTGAAGACATTTTCTTCAAGACTAAAGGTCATGAGATGGCCCACAGGAGTCCCAAACAGTGAATGAATGAGGGCTTGTCCAGGGCACCTCCTTGTGAAAATCAGAACTCGGCACTGGGGGAACATTTCGAAGCTTCTCAGTGGAAGAGTGAATCACATACAAAGAATTTAAAATAAAATTAACTCTGTAAGCTAGAGGAAAAGAGAACTTCTTTAAAATTAAGAAAACAATATTATTTCCTGTGTCCATTTCAATAAGATCCAAAATATTAGTCAAATGGGATATACATACAAGCCTCGAGAATACCAGTGGAAGACATGACCTAGTAAACGAGGGAGCAGATGAAGGAGACAAACACGAGGCACAGGCAGGAGGGAGATAACCCAAAATCTGTCCCTGTAGGAATTGTGAGGAAGGATTCCAAAAAGACTGCTCTGCTGTGATCTTAGAGGACAAACTGTCTGCAGTCTTAGCTGGCAAATTTGTAGACCAAGACGAGGCAGGGTACTTTCTCTGCTGCCAGCCTTCTCCTGGAGTGAAGTGAGGTTTATGAAAACCTCAAAATCATTGCATTTAACAGTGAGACTTCATTATGATGTATGATTGAGAACAAATGATGATATATTTAAGAAGTATGGTTTTATTAACGACTGGGATCTCTTAAATGAAATCTTTATAAGAGCCTCTGGTTTCTATAGATAAGGATGAAGAAAAATAGATGAATCTGCCTAAATATGAGTCAATCTCCCTTACATACAATCATTCATACTCTATTTTGTGTTCTTTTAGGAGGGTTGGGTATTTTCTGGCACTGTGTTATTTACCATTTTTAAAAAGTGGTCATAATAACTATGCATTATGGAAGTAGGGAGTGTGTATTAGCTACTTTTTACTTGTTGCTGAGACAAAATACCTGAAGCCCAAAGTTGGGAAAGGAAAGGTTTATTTCTTACAGTTTTTGGAGGTTTCAATCTGTACTCAGTTGGCTCCAAGGCAGGCGGGAATGGCTGGGCCCCAGTTCATGGTGGCTGCAAACAGCAAGCAGGAACCAGCAAAGAGCAAGACACACCTTCTTCCTGCCATTACATCACATCCTGGCTCCACCTCTTTGTGGGTGGAGCACTGACACCAT